CGGGCGACCCCGTGGGTTTTAAGAGGTTTTATACATCGAGATCATTTCTATAAAATCCAGACCAGGCCTCTATTGGAGACCTGCGTTTATTTGTCAGAACGTGAAGCCACACCAGGCTTTTAAAAGAGACCTGCGTCTATTAGGGACCTGCTTTTATTGGAAGGTTTACGGTACTTACTTTCCACGTCGAAGCTTTAGCTCTGGTTTAAGGTCAATAAACGACATCCTGTTGGATTCTGTCTGCAAACGGCTTTTAAATCGCTTGTTTTCTGAATGGAGTTTGGTTGTTCAAGGCTACGCTAACAGATATTTAGATAACAGAGGACAACTCAACTCCGTTCAAATCCCCTTTCTTTGCATTTATTTAAGAAATAGACCAAAATATAGTAAAATACAGCAACATTTAATTGTATATTTACAGTAAGTTAAACTACTGTTAAACAACTGTACTCTAATGCTATTTACTGTATTTTTACTGTATTTTGACCTGTTTCTGCTGTATTTTATTATATTGTACTGTATTAATATTGATATATTACTGCTAATTATTATTACTATTATTAATCTTCACTTACTAATTTTGTAATATTACTAAAATATACTGTAATGCAATATAAACTACGGTACCAGTTACAGCACAATAACAACAACAGAATGGATATTTAAAGACTTTATAACTGGGGCAGAAGAGAGAGAGTTGGTTTTTATATCTTTGAGTTGAGCTGGTCTGAGTTTCTGGGCTCTGATTGGTTGTTTCTGATTGTTGTCTCTTCGGTTGTTCTGTTCGGAGACGTCATGGATCCCAGTTTGGGAATTTTCTCTCTGGATTCAGTTTCATTCAGGCTCCTGTTTGGTTTAGTGTTTGCTGATGATTGTTTGTCGTTTCTGGACTAGAAACCATCTCTCTGCTCTTATCTCTCTCTCTCTCTCTCCCCCTCCTCTCTGACACCATGTCTCTCGCCCCTTCAATGTAATCTAATTACTAGCTACTACAGGAAATGACCTCATTTGGACTTTGACAGGATTGGATGACGGATTTCAGTTTGTTAAAGTTTCCATTACAGCATGACTGTGTGTGTGTGTGTGTGTGTGATTAAATGTAAAACACACAGTTTATTCAGTGTGTTTTACATTTAATAGACCATAATGTCAAATCAGCTCCTCTTTAACCCTTTAACAGACAGTTTAATGAGCTCACAGGTTGTGTGTTTACTTAAAGATGTCTTATATTAGCATCTGTAGCAGTTTATGTATTAATCACTTTTTATTGATAATTTGTAACTTGAAAAATGAGACCCTGACTTCCTCTGCTGCCTGTGGATGAGTTAGGATTTTTTGTTTTTATTTAAATGACCTCCACCCCGCCGATGCTAACATTAGCCATCATCATTATGAGCTGTTGCCTGAAAATGCTCAATGGTTGGTTGGTTTTGTGGGCGGTGCTCCTGCGTACACAACAGGGTGTTCAACGCGTATTCGGCTGTGTTTTGCCGAGACTGAACCAATTGTGGATCGATCTGACGTCACTTTGTGGAGTTTGACTTTATGGCTGTAGTGTAAATAAATATCCAGTCTTCTCTCTGGTGGTTTGTTTCTGTCGCACAGAGGCGTCAGTGTCAAACCGAGACCGTTTATAACCAGTTATAGATCTTCGTTTAACTTCTGTCACAATGTTCAGACGCAGCATCCGGCGTCGCCTCACCTACCAGAACGTACACCGTCTCCAACCTGTGAACAGGAAACCACCTGTGCTGTCAGGGACGCCCGGCTCAGGCTGGCATCACACAGGAAGTCAAACAGGAAACAACAGAATAAAAACAGGAAGTCGATGAGGAGCACAGAAAGTAACGCTGATTATCAGAGTTTGATCTTTACAGACACACCGAGGACAGCCTGGTGCAGGCTAATGTTAGCATCAACGGGGCGGAGGTCATTTAAGCGAACACATAAAAATATATGATACAATCTTTAACATTATCATTTGACACTGGTGTTGAAGTGATTCTGCAAGCGATTAGCCAATTTGAACATTTCATGCTGCTGTCAGGCTTCAATAAACACCTCAGGAGACACACAGCAGAACAGTGCACACACACTTTCCTGTGGATCAGTCTAATTACTGAAACATCATCCACCTGTATATAACTGTATATAGCAACATATTTATTTTACAAATGTACATCAGGACTGAGCACCTTACCCCCCTTGCTTTTGCAGCTATTACTTCTATGTCCTAGTGTTTATACTGTTTATTTTTTTATATTTCTTACACTGTTTTTGTCCACTTTCATATGCGTTGTGCTTTTAATCTCATTGTACATGTGTATAGTGACAATAAAGGCATTCTATTCTATTCTGTGTAGCTGCAGAGTCCCGTGAGAGTATAAAGGTGTGGAGAGTGAATCATTATAACTACTAACACGTACGCACTTTCTGATACTGAAACGAGTCTCTCCACTTATTATAAACCATTATTTCAGCTTTGGTCTCTTTCTCTTCTCTCTCTCTCTCTGTCTTGTGTCTGCAGGATTATCTCGGCTTGTATCTCGACTGCGTCCGCTGCCACTGAAACGGAGCAGGTCACACTCTGTTTTGCAACATCGAGGACATCTACGAGTTCAACAGGTAACTCACCTGCTCCTCAATCAAACACACACTCACACACTATTTCTATGTGCTTTCTATGTAGGGATATGTCAAAGGTTTGTGACTTTATCTCCGAGTGCTTCTCTCTCCGCTTTCTACAGTGCAACATGGGCCAACTACCGCTCGTTAGTCAGAAATGTGTCACTGATCCTCTGTTGGTTGATGAATGTGAAAATATAATGAGCTTCCTATAAACCACATCGAAATATGCTACAGGAAGTCTTGTTCTGACCCTTTTTATTTCATGCAAGGATTTTTTGGTGGATTTGAGTCTGGAAAAGCTCTTGTGGGTAACGACAGTACAGGCAGACATGACAGACCAGCAGCGTACCAGACAGATAAGCTGGCGTGGAAACATTCAAAACCACTGGCAATGCATAACGCTGCCAGGGCTGGGGTTTGATTCCCGCCGGACCGATTCTCTCCCGATAAAAAAGCTCTCTTTTGGGGTTTTTTCGAGCGTCAGAGCTGTTGAGCCTCATATGCCTGGACCAGATTCTTTTCAGGTTTTTCAAGAGCAGGAATGTCGCACCTCCGGTAGGCAGAAGAGAGAGAGAGGAGAGAGAGAGTGCGATGCCTGTTTTCTTTGTCACGCTAGTTTGACAGCAGCCGTCCTCCTGCTATGTTCACAGCAGCTCAACAGCCGTGCATTGTGGTTGTTTTGTACAGCGCCAGGTCGTGTTATTGCGGCAATGTGACGGACCTGCTGTGTATGGGTGTGTTAACCAAGAGGTTCGGTGATTTACAGGTTTAAAGATTGTGAGAAACGTTTAAAATTTTGGTTAAAACAGATTTACTTGTAAGTCGGCCCATCGAAACTGCACTGGAAATGTTTCTTTTATTTATATTTTAAATTTCAACTGCTTGTCATGAAAACAGAAACATAACACAACATGATTTAAACTTTATCAATCAGTAGTTTGACTTAACTCAACTTTATGTTTTAAATGTGCTGTGGGGTATTGACTCTCCTGATTGCTGAGGTTAAAATTGAGAAAAAAGCACCAAAATAAGCGCCAAAATAAAAGCATGAATAAATAAAGTATCAGTTGTCTGTCATTAAAAATTAAGAACACAGATCGAGCACAGAGCTATCATCGTCCTAATCATCAGAGTTACTCCTCCGCCCACCAGAGACTGACACTAGGAAATCAAACCTCTCTGAATTACTTTTTGATTTTGTTCCCGACGAAGTGTTGTTCGTGTGTTGTGTGTGTTTCTTTGAAGGCTGTGTGGAGACTGTTAAAATATGTCACACACACCACACACACACACACACACAACTACACACAACCCTCTGAGAGTCTTTTTTCACAATTTTCACTTTCTTTGTTTTGCTCCAACACACACACACTCACCAACACACACCATCTTCTATCTATCTATTCTATCTTATTATACATGTCAACACAGTTTTCATTCCATCCATGCTTTCCTGCCCTGTTTCTCATGGAAATATTGTATAGACCGAGCGGAGAGACCAGACAGACATGCATATAGACACGGGAGAAGAGAGCGGAGAAGGGTCTTCTCTTGATCAGTTAAATTAGATTGTCATTTAATAATTTAGTGTAATTCTTGATGAGGCAATTCCGTCTTCTCAGAAATCCCCTCAACCTTTACCTCCTGTTGTCTGTCTTCTCTCTCTCTGTCTGTCTGTCTGTCTGTTGTCTTCTGTCACTCTTCTCAGGTTCGTCTCAGAGTTTGACTTCAAAAATTTACCTGGTTTCTGTCTTTCTTTTTGTCCGAGTAGAGAAAGAAGAAAATAAAAAGAAACCCCCTCTCTGTTCACACCACATCAACTCACACCCTACACAGTCAACACACAGTCACACACACATGACACACACACACACCACAACACACTACTAAGTGTGTAGACATAACAACCAGAGTGGCTACATCATGCAGCAATACTTCCCACATGACGACCATACAAGCAACGTTGTGTGTGTGTATGTGTTCGTTGTGGTGTGTGGGGTGTGTGCTGTGTTGTGTGTGTGTGGTGTTGTCTGTGTGTGTACAAAATCACTGAATACAGTTATAA